GTTCACATGCACGTGTGCACGGTGCATGCCTGCACATGTCTGCTGCATTTTCTCTTGTGGATTGTGCAGCTGGGAAAGGAATCACTTTTTTTTTTTTTTTTTTTTTTGAGACAGTTTTGCTCGTTGCCCAGGCTGGAGTGCAATGGCACGATCTTAGCACACCGCAACCTCCGCCTCCCAGGTTCAAACGATTCTCCTGCCTCAGCCTCCCGAGTAGCTGGTATTACAGGCATGCGCCACCACACTTGGCTAATTTTGTGTTTTTAGTAGACGGGATTTCTCCATGTTGGTCAGGCTGATCTTGAACTCCCGACCCAGGTGATCCGCCCGCCTCGGCCTCCCAAAGTGCTGGAATTACAGGCATGAGCCACTGCGCCCCGCAGGTATCACTTCTTAATCCACTGGTGTTTTGAGGCCTCTTCCCCTTTTGTAGCAGATTGCTCCCTGATAGGGGGTCAGTTCCTCAGCCTGAGTCGCTTAGCCTAGTCTTGGAAATTCTTACCCATGTTTAGCATATCAGACCGAGCCAGGGAGCCGCTCCTTCCAGAAGGGTGAACTGAGGAGCGGCTGCAACATCCTTTCTCTCTCCACCTGATAGAGGTTGACAATGTAGCCCCAGCCCAGCCTGCCTGCCCTGGGAGCCTGCAGTGTGACTCCACCCTGCCTGAGCCGGAGCGGCCGGGTCAGCGCCTTCTCTGTTGTGGGATGCGGGGGCGCTGCTTGTTATTCACAGCGCCTAGCAGCTTTGTGTGGCTTTTATCTGGCCCCGTACAACCTTCTTCAGGCCTAAGCACTGGGATGTTTTAACAAGGCTTGAGCGGTGTGCTGCAGGGCCCGGGCTTCTCTCTCCCATGAGCAGGCCACACCCAGCATTGATCTTTGGATTAAGTTTTTCTAAATCCGTTATGTTTGTTCATCGAAATTTTTATTTATTTACTTATTTATTTGAGACCAAGTTTTGCTCTTGTTGCCCAGGCTGGAGTGCAGTGGCGTGATCTTAGCTCACTGCAACCTCCTCCTCCCAGGTTCAAGCCATCCCCTTGCCTCAGCCTCCCGAGTAGCTGGGATTACAGGCTTGCACCACCACACCTGGCTAATTTTGCCATGTTGGCCGGGCCAGTCTCAAACTCCTGACCTCAGGTGCTCCACCTGCCTCAGTTTCCCAAAGTGCTAGGATTACAGGCATGAGCTACTGTGCCTGGTCAAAAAATGTGTTTTTTAAAAAAATCATCCAGCGGGGCGCAGTGGTCATGCCTGTAATCTCAGCACTTTGGGAGGCTGAGGTGGGTGGATCACCAGTTCAGGAGTTTGAGACCAGCCTGGCCAAGATGGTGAAATCCCGTCTCTACTAAAAATACAAAAATTAGCTGGGCAGGGTGGCAGGTGCCTGTAATCCCAGCTACTTGGGAGGCTGAGGCAGGAGAATTGCTTGAACCAGGGTGGCAGAGATTGCAGTGAGCCGAGATCATGCCACTGCACTCCAGCCTGGGGCAATAAAGTGAGACTCCATCTCAAAAAAACTCAGCCATAAAGTAAATCAGAAAGCAAGAACCCTACCCTACTAAGGGAGGAAATCAGATTATTCTCCTGAATTCTGCTGTGACAGAGGTTCTTTTAAGGAGAACAGTGTTTTCTCTGGGTCTTGTATCTGATAGAGAATGGAGTGCGATTTTCCCATAACTACTTGTCCCCTTCGGAAAACGTGTTTGAAAAAGAAATATGACGCGATGATTAAAAGTGGTATGTTGCTTTATCCACAAATCCAGATCACTCCCTTTAGATTGCCTCTCCCTTGGATATGCCTCTACTCTTTTTTTTTTTTTTTTTGAGACGGAGTTTCGCTCTTGTTACCCAGGCTGGAGTGCAATGGTGCGATCTCGGCTCACTGCAACCTCCGCCTCCTGGGTTCAGGCAATTCTGCTGCCTCAGCCTCCTGAGTAGCTGGGATTACAGGCACGTGCCACCATGCCCAGCTAATTTTTTGTATTTTTAGTAAAGACGGGTTTTCACTATGTTGACCAGGATGGTCTCGATCTCTTGACCTCGATCCACCCGCCTCGGCCTCCCAAAGTGCTGGGATTACAGGCGTGAGCCCCTGCACCCGGCCGCCTCTAGGCTTACCATACACTCTTTTGCCACAGAATGTTGAGAAAAAATGTTTCTGGTGGAGGCCTTGCGTATGGTAGGAATGCGGAGAGTATGTGTTGGCCGAGCAGTGATCTTTTGAAAAATTGCCTTTTTTTCCCGTGGCTAATTGCACCTGACCGCTGAGTGATCACTCCAGGCCTGACAGGTTGGCCGGCCACCCAGCAAGCCTCAGTCTTGACTTCTTAAGGCATCAATTTCTCTGTCAAATTGAAAAGAAGTGGGAGAGTCTTTGAGGTAAAGGAGGCTTTGCCTTCTCTGTCTTTGTTTGTTGGGAAATGCCCGCAGCCTGGACCCTCAGAGGCTAGGTGAGGGAGGTGGGCTCCTGGGTGTGGTTCCTGACCCCGGGGGCTGCCCTCTGCCCTGGCGCCTCGGCTGGTGTCCCCGTCAGGGCCGCTCCTGAATGAAGCATTCTTCTCCTGCCAAAAATCGTTTTAAGATGGCCGAGTGGTGCCTAGGTGGCGAATGGTTGTTTTTATTTTTATTTTATTTTGTTTTTTAAGTGAAAGCACACAGAGTCTAGACAGCGCAGGTTGAGGGGACCCGCCATCACATACAGTGTGACATTGTTCCTGTCCTTTGAGGAAAGTAAGGACCCTCAAAACTCCAAGAGAGGAGAAGAATCAGACTTCTGTTTCTAAAGAACAGTCATCTTTACCTTTAGCGGTTTCAGGCTCTTTCTGGAATATTCAGCCAGCCTACCGTCTCACACCACTTGCCTATCAAACCGCTCGCCTAACTATGTAATGTGGCTATCACAGAGGACATAAGGGCCTCCAGAGACAGTGGTGTTACCAAGTGGAGTTCGATGCCTCCCGTCCTCCGCTGGGCCTCCCCTCCTGGCTGGGAGCTCCAGCCAGCTCTGCCACCAAGCCTGCCTGCCTGCCTGTAGGGGTCATCTGCACCTGAGCTGCTGGTATCCCCAGGGCTCTGCGCGTTGTCCCCATCAGGGTTCTCAGCTGCTAGGATCACGTGTCTGAAAATGAAAGGAAGTGTTCCCACAGCATTTTCCCATCTTGTTCTAACTGCCCCCTCTCCACGTGCATTTCTGGGTCCAGCTCTCTATTCTGTTGGCCCCATCCTGGTTCCTTCCTCCCATGGTGAAATCCTAGGACTTTCTGAATGTTTCAAACCTTGTCCTCAGCTGCTTCCCGTGGTGAAAAGCAGAGCAAGAGGGAGGACAGAGAGAGCGTGTGTGCTCTTTTATCCACCCGTCTTGTGTGCAGCCGTGTGCACTGTGTGGATATGGTCACTGTCTTTCCTCTTGAACTGGAGAGAATGTTACCCTGCTGTGACCAGAGGTCAAATAACTGCGTGCACTGGACGTTAAGTTCAGGAGTCCTCTAGATGAATCAGGTATTCACACCTGCCAGGCCTGTGGTAACGGCGTACGTGGTCCTGAGGGAGAGGGGCTGGGTGTTAATATGTCCACCCCTCTGGTCACGTGCAGGGGGCAGGAATGAAGATCCCTGGCACCTCTCTCCACCCCCAGCCCTGGGCTGGGACATGGTCATGGTTCGGGGAGTCTGTCCTCATGACAATGACTGACAGAAGGAGTCAAATGAGCCACCCCTTCTGCACGTCCTTCCTGTGCACCCAGCCTGTGCTCCCAAACTACCATTGCATCCAATACTGTGAATGACTGCACAGTGCTCATGCCTCGTCCCCCATGGTGTCCCCCTGCTGAGCTGCTGTCTCCAGCACGGCCCCAGTGGCTGGCATCACAGCCACTACCTGCCCCCAAGTCATGCTTGGGCCAAAAGGCACAGAAAGGCCACCAGCACAGCACGGGGAGGGCTGCAGAGGAAGGAGCTGGAGCCATGATGCCAGTCCCCTTCAGGAGGCAGCTCCGTCACCTGAAACAAGGCCATCCATTGTGTAAAAAGGACTAGCCAAAAGAGGACCCCAAGTTATATGCTGGCATTTCTCATCTGGACGCTGCACATTTGGGGACTGTGGGGTTTGAGCCTGTCTCTGTCTAGATCCACCTGAAAGATAAGAAGTCCCTGGAAGGGTAGAAAAAATCAGGAGAGAGAGGACCTCAGGGAGGGCTGGGCCTGGGTGAGGATCAGGGAGCCAGGCCCCTGCTCCAAGGTACCACCGTATTGTGCTGGCAGTCTCTTTGCTGCCTGGTGTTCTCCCTGCCGCAGAACAAACTGAGCCCCAGAACCGAGGTGGTGGTGTCTGAGCCACCTCTCCAGGAGCCCACACGGGGCAGGGCCCATCATAGGCAGCTTTCAGGAAGTGCTAAATCTAAATGCAGAAGCGAGAGGAAGTCACTTGAACTGAATGACAGCTACTGATAGCAAAAGAGAGTGACTTGCTAGAGTCCTCCAGGATAGTGCCAGATGAGCGTGTGAGCTGTGCCGGGGCCTCTGCTGTGATCATCAGATTCGTAGACCAGGGGCGTGCGGACCTACTCCTGGGCACAAATGGTTTCCATCTGTTTAGAACCTGTTTCGGTTAATCAAAGGTGAATAGGACCATAACCAGTGACATCTGCCTGTGAGAATGATTTTAAAATCTGTGTGTATTAAATAGAAGGATAAGTGGGGTGTGGTGGCTCATGCCTGTAATCCCAGCACTTTGGGAGGCCAAGGCAGGTGGATCATCTGAGGTCAGGAGTTCAAGACCAGCCTGACCAACATGGAGAGATCCTGTCTCTACTAAAAATACAAAATTAGCTGGGTGTGGTGCTGCATGCCTGTAATCCCAGCTCCTCGGGAGGCTGAGGCAGGAGAATCGCTTAAACTGGGGAGGTGGAGGTTATGGTGAGCCGAGATTACACCACTGCACTCCAGCCCGGGCAACAAGAGTGAAACCCCGTCTAAAAAAATAATAAAAGAAGGATAAAGTTGATATTTGTATAGCTTTCCTTCAAGTGAAAGAGAAAATTAGGCTTAGTATTATTACAATGAATTAAATAGAGGCCCAGCTATTAAACATACTGTTTGCCTCTTGATTTTTCTCGTCAGTACTTCTCTCGCTGCTTTGAAAATCCAGGCTCCTGGGAAACAGTCTGTGATATGCATGACTCCCACCTCAGTGCTGGGAAGACTGCACCAACAGGGTCTTTTAAACCAACACGAAGCAGTAAGAACCTCCCTGCACGTCTCTCATTTTTGCTGGTTTGGAAGGCTGCTGTCCAGACAGAGCTTACAGTTTAGCTTGGCCTGCCTTTGAAGGAACTCTCTCACACATCCACACAGGACGCCTCACACCCAAAACCCAGTGTGTTGCGTTGACTGTCAAGGGCTATCTGCAGAGCAGGTCATCTTTCTGTAGATGTTCCGGAATGACCTCTGGATTATCCACATACCACCTACTCTGCTGGAATTTCGTTAAACTAGACTGCGTATGGTGGTCATTTTGAAACTCTATTTATAAAGACATATGGCTGTGGGTGATAGATAATGGAATGCGTCTATAACGGCACTTACTCTATGCCAGGCATTGCTCTAAGCACTTTACACTGAAATCCCCAGTAAACATACGAGACTAGGGTACTATCTTTATCCCGATTTCATAGAGGAAGAAATGGAGGCACGAAGGAGCGAAGAACTTAGGCCCAGAGTCGGGGTGCTGCGGGGTTGAGCTGATCCTCAGGCTGCTCGTCTCCAGAGTTCACCTTGGCCCTCCGGGCAGGAACTCAGGCAGTACTGAGCCAAGTGGAGCAACCTGCCCACCCGCCAGATAGACCTTATCTCCTTGACCTCCGTGTCTCCTGCTGGCTGGGGACACCGCCTCCAGGGATGATAGAAAGTACCCTGATCCTGGCTGCCTAGAGGGTCCAGTGCTAAAGAGCACAGCTGCCGGTGGCTCATCTGTAGCAGGTCAGCTGGGCAAGCAGTTGAGGCCAGGACCCCAGGGGCCTGACGGAGTGCCTGTGCAGATCAGACACAGGTCCGCCCAGCTCCCTGCTGTGCACAAGCACCAGGCCTGGTTTGACATCTTTTTAGGAAGGTAAAAAAGCCCTTCCTCTCTTTGGGCTGTCTCAGGATTATGCAGATTTCTGCCACTCTCCCATCCCCTTCTCACCATACCCAGCCTCTCCCTCCAGGGCATCTGACCTCTGTGCATACCTGGGTACCACAGGAGGCCCTTACTTCTGGTTTCTTCTCTTGTGCTATTGTTATTTAGAGCATGCCTGGGCATCCTGAGAAACCTTGTGGAGTGCTGTGTGGTCCTACCCTGGGGGTCACCATACTGGGCCCACCACATTTGTCCTGCCTCCTGGTACCCCTTGCAGGCAAACTTAACCAGTGGCCTGTGTCCCTGCAGCCCTTCTCCTTCCTGCCTTAGTTCTGAAGCAAACTTATTTTCCCCAAATTGGAAAGGCTACTTAGTTCTAAAATTAGGATTTGAATTTGAGTACAGTTGATTCTTGCTATTCACGGCCCAGTTCTACAAAGTCACCACGAGCACTGAATTAGCAAATACTGAAGCATTGTTCCTAGGAGAGATCCAGGGTTAAGTTCCTGTGAGCCTCTGGTCACAACATTTTTGCCAGCCTATGAATACAGACCTTGTTTTCTGTGTATGTTTAAAGACAGCTTATTTAACATAGATGATGGATTCATTAACTTGAGACTCACGGCTGACAGCACTAGTGCTCATTGCTGGAAAAATGGTGTGAAAACACATTGTCTAACACATGTGTTTTCTCCATAAGGCACATCTTAGCCATCTCATACTTAGGGACACTAGACAGTGCTTCAGCACTGCACGTGGGGCCATTTCAAACAGTGAATTCACCAAAAGAAAAGCACAGAGGCAGGCATCATGGTTCACACTTGTAGTCCCAGCTACTTGGAAGGCTGAGGTGGGAAGAGTGCTTGAGCCCAGGAGTTCAACTCCAGTGAGCTAGGATCACACCACTGCACTCCATCCTGGGTGGCAGAGCGAGACCCTGTCTCTAAAAGACAAAAAACAGCACAAAAATGTGACAAATGTGGCACTAAATACACTGTGAAACACACACTTGTTTTTTTGTTTTTTTTTGAGATAGTCTTGCTCTGTCACCCAATCTGGAGTGCAGTGGCACAATCTCAGCTCACTGCAACTGCCACCTCCCAGGTTCACACAATGCTCCTGCCTCAGTCTCCCGAGTCGCTGGGATACAGGCACATGCCACCATACCCGGCTAATCTTTGTATTTTTTTTTTTGAGACGGAGTTTCGCTTTTGTTACCCAGGCTGGAGTGCAATGGCGCCATCTCGGCTCACCGCAACCTCTGCCTCCTGGGTTCAGGCAATTCTCCTGCCTCAGCCTCCTGAGTAGCTGGGATTACAGGCACGTGCCACCATGCCCAGCTAATTTTTTGTATTTTTAGTAGGGACAGGGTTTCGCCATGTTGACCAGGATGGTCTCGTTCTCTTGACCTTGTGATCCACCCGCCTCGGCCTCCCAAAGTGCTGGGACTATAGGCATGAGCCACCACACCTGGCCAGAAATGGGCGCTTGTTTACTGCATGAGAGCTGCATCAACAAGGTGTTGCCTTGTTTGACCTCTCCTGGGAGTGTGCTCATTGGGAGACTCGTATCTTAACCCTGTGCGCACATCTCCTGCACATGATGCCAAGTGCCACAGGTGTTGGTTTGGGGGATAGAAATAAATGTTTGCCACTAGATGAATATGCAAATGCAGCATCTGTCAATAATGAGGCCTGACTGCGTATTTTATTGTCCTTTTTACTCCCCTTCAGGTTGAATCGTAGACTGTTAGAATTGGAAGGCATCTTTAAAGCCAGCTAATTCAGTTCCCTCATTTAACACAGAAGAAAAAGTATGCTATAAATTTAAGCATTATATATTAAAGCACCTTAGGCCCAATTAATCGTGGACAGCATTGCCTAAGTCGATGTGCTAGATTAGCTTTTTTTTTAGTTGAATTTTATTTCTCGCCTAAGTGATATGCTATGGTTTGATCATCAAAAGTAGTTTCGGCCGGACACAGTGGCTCACGCCTGTAATCCCAGCACTTTGGGAGGTTGAGGTGGATACATCACCTGAGGTCAGAAGTTTGAGACCAGCCTGGCCAATATGGTGAAACCCCATCTCTTATTCCAAATAAAAAAATTGGTTGGACATGGTGGCGTGTGCCTGTAATCCCAGCTACTCGGGAGGCTGAGGCAGGAGAATCGCTCGAACCCGGGAGGCAGAGGTTGCAGTGAGCCGAGATCACACCACGGCCCTCCAGCCTGGGTGACAGAGTGAGATTCCATCTCAAAAAAAAAGTAATTTCATCTGAGGAAAATTCTCAGCCTTAATTCATATGAATAAGGATGCCCACAGATGAATGAAGCAGCCCACCTCAGAGCCCAAAGGCCATCTTGTTGAGAGCATGCATCCTGGAACACAGGTCTCAGAAGTGACTCAGAAGGCTCCTGCCACTCTCACACAGGCGCACCATGCCCTCTGACACTCCTGCTCGTTTTCCTATTGCTTCATTTAACAATCTGTCCCAATTAACCCCTGCCACTCCACTCACTCCCGTTAGCAGGGCTGTGAAAAGGTTTCCCGGGTCACCTGCTGCTGTAATGGGCCCCAGCTCTTCAGCCTCCCCTCCCCAAGCCAGGTGCCAGCACAGCAGCTGGGAGGACATTGCTGCCTTCTGATTCTGGAGGGTCTCTCAGCATGGCCCGGGAACAGTCATGGGCCCAGTGAGGAAGTGGGCCCAGCCCTGCAAGTGCTTTTTGCAAGGATCTGGGTTGGCCCAGGAAGCCAAGCTGGAGAGAGGGCTTCAAGGAGGGAGCAAGAAATACGAACTTGGAGTAGCTTCCCAGGCAGAACAGGAAAAGTGGGGAGCTGGAGGCTCCTGGAGGCGGAGGGGTTCCACCCACAGCCTGCCTTCTTGCTTCCCCTGCCACTCGCTTACTTGAAAATACTTATTTTTGCTAGTAGATAGTATTATGCATTGGGAAAAAAATAGGAGGCGGCCAACATGTCTGTGGCCTGGGGTTTCTAGGAAGTCGGCAGGATGGGTGCTGTTGGTGGGCCTTTACCTCCTCAGGAGAAGGGGCTGTTGTCAAGCATGTAGGATGAGTGGAGAACATCTGGAGGACCATAGTAACCACCGCTGAAAGGTAGCTCCTTGGCACGTGGCATTTGCTGTCATTAGAGAGCTTTTCCAAGTCTGGGAGTCTCCCCGGCTTAAACAACGCTCAGTCTGCAGGTGGGTGTTGCGGGATCATTTAACCTCTTGGAACCTTTTAGGGTCCTAGTCAGATGGCTTGATGTACACAGACCATGATCTCAGGAGTTAACAGTAGAAGGCACTTTTCAGTTATTTTGGGAACTTTAAGATCTTTCTAAGTCAGTTTCCATCATTTAAGTACCGCTTCGCTGTATTCATGTGACGGCGGTCATCTCTGCATATCGCGTAACCTAAAAGATAAATCACTCGACAGTCGACTTACATTTTCAGTGTTACCTTAGAAATAACTGTAGGGTGGAGAATAACTTCTGTTTTTTTTCATCAACGGTTCTACTTTCTGTCTTGGAGTTAATTTTTTAAAGTGATGACTTTTGGTAGGTGGCTTCCTTATCTTCTTCCCGGAGCTTCTATCTGAAATACAGAAAAACGTGAACGAAACTATCCTGAATCATGTTGAAGCCTCCTCTTTCGTTTCTCTTCTTAATGAAAGTACTCTAATTTGGGTTGTCAGGTTAATGGTTTCAATAGCAACCGCAGAAGTAAAACGGGTGAGGAGCTAACTGCGTGTCAGGAAGGTAGCAGCGCCCTCCCGCAGTGGCTGTGCTGGGCTCCCGCGCTGCCCCACAATGTACAGGAATGAGGAGTCCCGGAGGCCTGTAACTGAGCGACTCAGCAGTTAAGAGATTTCACATAAAAACTAATTGTTAGGCTTGTTCCACCAGGCGGCTTGGCTCACCCTCCAGGTGAGGGTGAGGGCTTGCTTTTGAAAACCAAACCAAGTGAGGCCAGTAATTCCTGCAGAAGCTGGGTGCTCCCACCCCCAGCCAGCCTCCCTGCAGGCAGCAACGGTGGGGCTGCCAGAGGATCCCACCCAGGAGGCTCTCACCCAACCCAGCCTTTCTTACCCAGCGGTGGGAGTCCCTTACGTAGCAGGAATAAAAAAGTTAGACGCAAGATACTTTGATACTCTGAGATGATTTTTTTTTCCTAGGTGTTCACTCTGTGGGTGGGGCGCAGGGTGGTGGGGCAGGTGAGGGGTGGGGCGGCAGGTGAGGGGCGGGGCTTGGTTGTCTTTTACTTTTCCCCTGCTCCTGTTCTCTTCAACCCTGTGCTTTATCAGTGAGATTAAGGTTTCTTCGCAAGGATTCCGGGTCTATTTCTAGAGCAGATTGATCACTTCCCCTGCCAATGAGCCATTGGTTGGATGTGGGGACAGTGTCTTAAACTTGGTTCAGGCTTCTGTTTCTGTTTCCCCTTGATCTTGCTGTTCAGCCCTGGAAAAGTGTTGAAGTGTGAGAGGGTAGGGTTATTTCTGGTTCTTGGGGTCGTGACTAGGAGCCACGTGTTGAAGCCCCAGGAGGCAGTGAGTAACTCTGCTGGCTTAGTTGTTTCTCCATCTCCATTTCACCATGTTGGCCCTACACACCCACCTTGCATTCTAAGTGCGGAGTGAGGGTAGGGGATGGGGGGATACTCACCTGGAGATACATGTGGGTTCTGCAGGGCCTGGAACTCTCCAGAGCCTTCTGTTATGTTCTGCATCTACCGCAGCGGGGGCTGCTGACCAGTAAATGCTCAGCAGTAAAGCTTGAGAGAAGGCAATGAAGGAAGTCAGCATCTTTAAGTCAATTTATGGTGCATGCAAAGCGTGTTTTCAAATATTTACAGAGTCTCTGAGGGAATTACGTCACTGTTTATAACTGTTTTGCTTGTTTTTTATGACTCAGGCCCAATAGAGCCAAGAGATGTAATTCCTGAGAGGCTCTGAGCAGAACGCCTCGCGCCTCCCGGGAGGAGAGGCCAGGCATAGTAGGAAAAGCGCTCCCGATAATAAGCCCAGCGCCAGTCGTGTGCTGGGGAATTATTAATGTGCTGCTGGATGGCAGCGGGTCTGCACCAAAGAATGCCATCTTTCTTCAGCTGCAGGTCACTGGGGTGGGGGGCTCGAGTTCAAGGAGGCGTGAACCCTAGTGGCCTGGAGTCGGTGGGATGGTCCAGCCTGGAAGCAGGGGCAGCCTTAGGATACAGATTTAGTGTCTGCTTGGTCTGGGGAGTATACCAGAAAATCTGGGAGAAACAAGTCTTGAATGATTGAGGCTCTGGTTTTATCCTCAGACTCTATCCCATATGGTAAAGCTGCCCTGAGTGTGTAAAGGGAACCATCATCCATTTCTATCACAGGGCAGGAAGGCGAGGGGACCCCAGCTTTCTGCAGGAGAGTTGGGAGCACATGAGCTTAGCACCCTCAACCAGCACGAGAGGGCAGACTCTGAGCTGTGTCCTTGACTGTGGGCCCACACAAGCTTCTGTGCGAGGCAATGAGGCCCAGAGGCAGCGGCAGAGGGCTCTGGGGCCCGGACTCCCGGACTCCCAGGTCCTCCCCCAAACCTTGGGTGCTGCCCTTAATTTCCCTCTGGATTAAATGGGTTAATCCTTGGAAATTCTCAGGCCCGTGCCTTATGCCCAGTGCACAGTCAGCTCGGGAAATGTTTGCTGTTGCTGTTACTCAGCATTGTGACTTCTATTTTCAGTGGAGTCTTTGAAACAAAGTAGTGGGATTTTTAAACATTTTTCTGTTTGTGAAAACATTTAATTATTTTTATATATGTAGGCGGTCCAAGGACAGGTTTCTTACATGCACATACTGCAACGTGGTGCATGTAAGATGAGAAGCTGCCTTCTGGTCATGGAAGGGGGCCCATCCCTGGGGACATTCACCTGAGTCTGCCCAACAACCCATCGTTTTTATTTTATTTTATTTTATTTTTGAAGTGGAGTCTTGCTCTGTCAACCAGGCTAGAGTGCAGTGGTGCAATGTCAGCTCACTGCAACCTCTATCTCCTGGGTTCAAGCGATTCTTTCTCCTGCCTCAGCCTCCTGGGTAGCTGGGATTACATGCACCCACCACCACACCTAGCTAATTTTTATATTTTTAGTGCAGACGGGATTTTGCCACATTGGCCAGGCTGGTCTTGAACTCCTGACCTCAGGTGATCCACCAGCCTCAGCCTCCCAAAGTGCTGGGATTACAGGCGTCAGCCACTGTGCCTGGCCAAACCCATCTTTTAAATCTCGGTAAGCAAATTCCAGAGGCGTAAACGTCTTCAGGACGAGTGATACAGCTCACAGTGGAGCATCTGTGTGAGACATTCAGAGGCTGCTGCGGCTCCCTGGGGGCCCCAGGGCCCTGAGGTTGCAGTGGGGACAGAGCAGATGGGCGCTGGAGCCCCTCGCCCTCGGTGTGGGCGAGACTTCATGATTTCGATGCCAAGTGCTGAGCCCTCCCTCCTCCCACAGGAGCATCCCCTTAGTGCAGGTGCTGCGGACCACGGCTCTGACCAGCGCCTGTGCGGAGCACTCGGACCAGCGGGTGTCCTACCTAGAGCACGTGGTGGTTCGCATCTCCATCTCTCATCCGCGCCGAGGAGACCTCCAGATCTACCTGATTTCTCCCTCGGGAACCAAGTCTCAACTTTTGGCAAAGAGGTAAGATGAGGCAGGTGTGGGATGGGGGCTGGGGCTCACTGAGATTTATACTGCACGAGAGCTTCAGTCCAGTCTTGGGCCCACAGTGTCTCTGCAAGGCCCCCTGGCACGTGGGGGCTCCCCCTGGTTCTACTGGCAGCTTCCTTTCTCTTGGAGACCCTCACATGTAGGCCCCACAAACCTTTAAAGTTGCTCCCTAAACCTTGCCTTCCAACGGGTCCTGGAAAACCTTCCTTTTCAGAAAGAAATGACAAAAGACTTGTTGTTTCATTTTGTTTGGTTGTTAAGCGGAGGGATTTGTGGAATTCTGGCTCTGCCTTCATTGCTTAGAAGTGCATTGAAGGTCATTCTTATCCCATTCGACTGCCCTTTGAATCTTGCGTGTGTACGGCAGGGAGCGTTGTTTATTCCCCCGCCAGCTCTCCCACCAGTTGTGGGCTGCCCTGCAGAACCTGCGCCCACAGGAGCCTCTCCCAGGAAGACAGACAGGCTCGGATGGCAAGTGGGGAAGGGGCTCCCAGGCTGCTCTCTGCCGCCTTCTCTTGCACTCAGGTGCTGGAAATTCCAAAGCTTTGTGCATGGTTTGTGGGAGTCTATGGAGTCATTTCTTTAACAAACTTAGCAACAGGGGGAAATGCATTAATGCAAATATATGACTTACAGGTAATTAGAATGAAGGTGTTTTTTGGAACTTAGCAGGGCCAGGGTATTTTGGTACCTTTTGTCTCTTTTTAGCTAAGAGGTAGAGAGAGAAAAGAGATTTCATGGACAAATCAGCATTTCCAGCTTCTCTCAAAAACCAGAACTGGCACCGTGCCCATATTGCCTGCAGGAAGCCTCCCAAGCCCAGGCCGACTCTGTCTACTGGGCTGTGGTCCCCATCCCATTTGCTCACTCTGGGCCCACTTGACTCCTTTGGTGACCTGCCTGAGGCTGTGGCCCTTGTGTGGGTTACAGGGAGCTGTAGAGATTCAGAAACAGGGGCTAGTGAAGGCTCTCAGATGGGACCACGCAGAAGTTGGGGGTTGCCCTTTGCTTAACCCTCCCCTTTCCCCCCACACCCCGACTTTCTATGAGACAGAGTTATTGACTCAGCAGCAATGCGAGGCAGACAGGGCCATTGTCCAGAGGAATGGGGCCTGTGCTGTGTGCTCCACGCCTCTGCCCAGCAGCCTGGTCTCTCCGCAGTAGGCAAGCTGGGGTGGTAGCAGCAGGCAGTGGGCCTGACACCAGCTTTGCCCTTGGTGCACTGGAATCAACCCTGAGGCAGACCCTGGCACCAAACTCAGCCCATCCTACATTCTGCTTTCATAGCACAAGCACCACAGGGGCACAGCTCCCTCCTGCAGGGAGGCCTGGCTGTGCTCTGACTGCCTGTGGGCGGCCACACGGGCATGAGCAGTTTCGGTGTCAACGGGCAGCCTGATGCTATGTTGCTCCTAGTGGTGTGTTTCATTTTATTTTTGAAACTATTTTAGTCCCTCTTAGAGATTTTAAAAGTCCCCATTTCTAGCATTTCTTGGAAAGTTGGAAGCTATCTGACACTAGGCCCATGTTCCTGCGTGTGCTGGGCTGAAGCTGAGCGGGTGGGCGAGTATGTTTTTATATTTTCCATGCTGGCGCCAGCCCTGAGGCCAGCGATGGGCTCTCCATTCGCCCCAGCTGCACACCCAGTGACACCCAGGTTTGTGACCCCTGACTCAGAGGCAGAGCTGGATGCAGGCCCAGGTGATAGCCTGGGTTAACCGAGAGCCTGTGGTGAGGCTGAGGCTGGGGCAGCAGGTAGCAGGCAGGTGGGTGGCAGTGACCCTGGAGACACGGCTCTTCTACCCCTGGCAGGTCTCCCAGGGGCTGGTCACTTTGCCTCTCTTTATTCCTCACCTCTGAAAATGTCACTTCGCTCCTCTGTAAACATTAGGACTGCTACAAGAGTTGAGAGTCACAGTGTAGATGAAAATGTTTGACATCGTCCCTGGTGCAGGGGCCTGGCTGCCCTTTATGTCCTGCTTATGTCTGGCTGCCTGACCCACAGGAATCTTCTGGAACCTCAGCCTCCTCTCTCCCGCTCCCCCAGGGCACCGTTTTCCTTCCCTGGAAACCCTCCTCCTCCTGCTGCTGCCCAGTGTTAAGCCCTTGATAATAGAGAGCAGGTCCTGCCAGACCTATTGGAAGCCACCTCTTGGCTGGGTAGTGCTGTCTATGTGCCATCCAGCATTTTAAAAAACTATCCTAGCCTGGACAGGGTGGCTCATGCCTGTGATCCCAGCACTTTGGGAGGCCAAAGTGGGTGGATCACCTGAGGTCAGGAGTTTGAGACGAGAATGGCCAACATGGTGAAACCCTGTCTCTACTAGAAATACAAAAATTACCTTGGTGTGGTAGTGGGCATGTGTAATCCCAGCTACTTGGGAGGCTGAGGCAAGAGAATCACTTGAACTCAGGAAGTGGAGGTTTCAGTGAGCCGAGGTCATGCCATTGTACTCCAGCCTGGCTGACGGAGAGAGTCTGTCTCAAAAACCAAAACCCCCCCAAAAACCTACCCTGACATCACTCTGGCTGTTGCTGGAGTCCTGGGCCTCTGATTTTTTCCAAGTCAGATTTTGTGATTGTATCAGGAGTGTGTGTGTTAGGATGGATGCCCTCCTCTCCTGCTGCACATCTTACTGAATTTGGAAGCTTTTCGAAGTTGCCAGTTTCTTCACTAAGAAGCCGTTGATGTCCCTCAGCACCTCAGCCCTTAAAAGACAGCCTGTCCTTGTTCTGTCCCCAGTGTGTTGAGTTCAGCTTGGCATTGAGTGTGAAAATCAGCCTTGACCTTCGCCATTTCTTAAAACAAAGCAGAGGATGCTCCGCACCCCACTCTGCCCCTTTGCCAAGAATGTTCCCTAGATAAACATTTTCCTGCACTGAGTGTTCAGAGAACCCCCAGATCGGAAATTGAATCTCACATCATTCAAAACTTATGCATTTCAATTTCTGATGAACAATAAAGAGCCCCATATTAAAAAAATGTTTATTCCAAAATCAAGAGAGAAAATTAGACTATGAGGAAAGAATAAGAGGAAAGAACCTTGACTTGATTCCTCTAAGAAGAGTCGCTTCTGAGGACAGCACTGGGTGCAGGAA